ATCTCGATCACGATGCGGAGCTTCCTGGTGAACTCCTTCGGGGAGGACGCCATGACCGCAATAGCCTCGTCGTCAACGAAAGTCACGTCGAAAATGATGGCCTGGTCACGTTTGTCTTCGTCGCAGCTTTCTCCATCACCTTGCGGAGAGCGCCGGCGTAAGACAGGTTGAATATCACGCCTCCGAGCAGGCACCCTTGGCGCCCGCCTCCTTTCACCGTGAGGACTCCGCTCGAGCCCCGCATTCCGAGCCAGAAGTTGGCGCGTAGAGATCCGATGCGTTTGGCAGTGCGGTGGTGCACGCGGATCTTCTCGCAGATGGGCTCCTGCTCGATCGTGCTGGCCAGTAGGAGGAAGGGGAGGAGGAGGAGGAGGAGGAGGAGGAGGAGGAGGAGGAGGAGGAGGAGGAGGAGGAGGAAGAGAGGATGGAGGAGGAGAAGGAGGAGGGGAGGAGGAGGAGGAGGAGGGAGGAAGAGGAGGAGGAGGAGGAGGAGCGAGGAGGAGGAGAAAGAGGAGGAGGGGGAGAGAGGAGGTGATGGGCTACTCTCTTCTCTCGCCCTCGGCTCTGGCTCGTGCGGTGCCTCAGCCTGTCCGCGCTCCGGTCCTCCGCGGGGTGTGGGCCCGCCGGGTGGGCACCAAAACCGTCCCATGGCATGGCTTGCTATGATGCTCGCCGGGCGTCCATTCCACCCCTGCTTTTCCTTCTTCCCCACTGCGCTGTGCTTCCCGTGGGAAATTATCCCGGAAAAGCAACCTAACAGCGATGTGTAGAAGCATATCTGAAAGCATTCCCCTTAAGATTCAGATGAAAATCCAGTTGTCGAATTCTGCTGTTCTCGCAGTCGTAGTCGCATTCGCGATGACAGTCGCAGTGGCAACGGCAGTCGCAGTCACAGCCTCAGCCTCAGCATGCCTCAGCCTCAGCCTCAGCCTGCCTCAGCCTCAGCCTGCCTCAGCCTCAGCCTCAGCCTGCTTCAGCCTCAGCCTCAGTCTGCCTTCAGCCTCGGCCTCAGCCTCAGCCTGCCTCAGCCTCAGCCTGCATCAGCCTCAGCCTCAGCCTCAGCTTGCCTCAGCATCAGCCTGCCTCAGCCTCAGCCTCAGCCTCAGCCTCAGCCTCAGCCTCAGCCTGCTTCAGCCTCAGCCTCAGTCTGCCTTCAGCCTCGGCCTCAGCCTCAGCCTGCCTCAGCCTCAGCCTGCCTCGGCCGCAGCATCAGCCTGCCTCAGCATTCAAAATGTGGCCCAGGAATGGAGTTCTGGGAACTAGAAGAACACGAGGTGGCCTACAGTTGGCTCCGGGCATTCAAAATCATACCCAGGAATTGAGTTCTGGGAATTTGAAGAGCACGAAGTGGCCTACAGTTGGCTCCGGGCATCCAAAATGTACGCCAGGAATGGAGTTCTAGCAGCGCCAAGAGCGATTTTGCGAGGATGTCCCAAGCGATTTGGGTTTCGACGGCAGCCGCGCCGGGTCCCGCCCCGGGTCCCGCCCCGACCCCCCTGAGGAGTCATGATGCTCTCTCTTTTGACCCCACTAGAAACCTATCAGTCTTCGCTGTTAGGTAAAAACACACACTGTGGGAAAACACACACACGTGTGTGTTTTTGTCCCACTGTGTGTTTGTTTTGTGTGTTTTTTTTTCCCACAGTGTGTGTTTTTTTTTCCCACGGTGTGTTTTTTCCCACAGTGTTTTTTTTTTTTCCGCAGTTTTTTTTTTCTCCCACGGTGTGGTTTTTTCCCACAGGCTCCCTCGCTTGGTGGCTCCCGCTCGGCTTGGCTCCGTCGGCCGTTTCGCGCTCTCTCGCCATCGGCATATGGCCCGCCGTCGGCACCCACTCTGCCCCACTCGCGGCCCGGCCGCCTCCTCGCCAAGGCGCCTCATTCGTGCGGTGGCCCCGCTCGCTCTGCCTCCGCCTCCCGCCTCCGGCTTGGGCCCGGTGGCCTCACCGCAGCTGGGCCTCTCACAACTCGCGCAGGAAAGAACTCTGGTCCAGACTCTGCAAAGGACTCCCTCCCAAAAGGCCTGGGGTCACAGTGGATCTGGACGGCATTGGAGTCCTTTAAACTCCGATGCAACAGCCCGCCTGACGGGTCCATGGCAGCGGATGTCAAAAAAAAATCGGTGGCTTCACCGCTGCTCTTTCGGGGTTTCGGCGTTTTGGGCCCGGATGCGCCTTGCGCGCGTCTTCCTGGCCTCTCGATTTCGCGCCGCTCCACGAGGAACCTGTAATGCGAGGTATACGTGCCCCTCCGTTGCCTTGCATCCGTGGTTTGGATTCAGCCGCGCGTCGGAGGGAAACGTGCGTTGTGTGTGTGTGCGTGTGTGTGTGTGTGTGTCTGTGTGTCTGTGTGTCTGTGTGTCTGTGTGTCTGTGTGTTTGTCTGTCTGTGTCTGTCTGTCTGTCTGTCTGTGTCTGCGTGTCTGTGTCTGTGTGTGTCTGTGTGTGTGTGTCTGTGTGTGTCTTTGTGTCTTTGTGTCTGTGTGTCTGTGTGTCTGTGTATGTGTGTCTGTCTGTGCGTCTGTGCGTCTGTGTGCCTGTGTGTCTGCGTGTCTGTGTGTCTGTGTGTCTGTGTGTGTGTGTCTGTCTGTGCGTCTGTGCGTCTGTGTGTCTGTGCGTCTGTGTGTCTGTGTGTCTGCGTGTCTGTGTGTCTCTGTGTCTCTGTGTGTGTGTGTGTCTGTCTGTGCGTCTGTGCGTCTGTGTGTCTGTGTGTCTGCGTGTCTGTGTGTCTGTGTGTCTGTGTGTGTGTGTCTGTCTGTGCGTCTGTGTGTCTGTGTGCCCGTGTGTGTGGATTGGGATCGGCGCCATGCTTATGGAGCTAGTTCTTTGACAGGATCAGGCAACTCTATGTTGTAGGGGGGGCAGGATGGGCGCCATTCCGAGTCAAGTCCGACTGAGAAATAGGTCTTGTGGGGGAGTTGGGATAGGCGCCAAGCTTGTTGAATTCCTAGTTGAACGCGCATGAAGTCAAGGAATCATATGTTTGATGCTTGTGAGAAGTCTGTCAGAAGTCACGCAAGGACGTTTCCTAAAAGGCTCTTGTTCTGGAGTTTTTGTTTCAGAAGCCTTTCACAAGCGTCTTAGAAGCTTTGCAGAAATCGCCCAGAAGTTTGTACTTAGGCTTGTGGAGGCTCGTAAGAGGCCCGTAAGAGACGTTCAGGAGGCCTCTCCGCATATTCCAGGATACTCCGAGAAGCTCCGACGCATCTCCACCCACATAGGTTGCAGTCAGATCGCTCCGGGTAGTTGCCATCGGTACCGACTAGTTTTGGAGCGCACCAAGTTAGTTGCCATCGGTCGTGTTATCCCTGAGGAATCTCCCAGGTGTCCTAAGGAAGCCCTGGTCCTAACGAAGCCCTCACGTGCTCCCCTTTCGGAATGGCCCGGATTCCTGAAAGAGTTCGCACGTCTCCACAACAGTCAAAAACCCTAATGAGGACGCGCGACTTTGCTCAGGGTACCCTTGCGTCCTTGCTCTTCCTTGCTCTCGCGGCTCGTCCTTGGCCTCTTTCGCTTGCCCGCTTGTCAGGGTACCCTTGGGGCGTTCGTCGCCCGCCGCCCCAGAAATCCCAACTTCGGCTTCCAAGGGTCTCGCGTCCTTACCGCGCGTCCTTCCTAGGGTTTTTGGCTCCAGTTCACGCCGCGTCGCCGCCCGTGGCCGCCGCGTGGTCGCCCGCTTGGGGGGGGAGGGGCACGCCGAGGCTTACGCCGCGTCGCCGCCCCGTTGCCGCCGCGTTGCCGCCCGCGCGTGGGGATCTGCCGAGGCTTCGCCGCGCAGCCTGCGCCGCACAGCCTGCAGCACAGTGCAGTGACTGCACTCAAAGAACCCCAATGAGGACGCGCGACTTTGCTCAGGGTACCCCTTGCGTCCTTGCGATGCTGCTCCTCTAGGCACCAACGCTTGTCTGGTAAGGACGGAGGTGCGTCAGGGTACCCTTGCGTCCTTTGGGTTTTCGTCGTCCGCCGTCCCAGAAATCCCAACTTCGGCTTCCAAGGGTCTTGCGTCCTTACCGCGCGTCCTTCCTAGGGTTTTTGACTACCTCTTTGGGATCCACGCGGTCTAGCATAGATACATTCATACGTGCACATACATACCCGTATTCTGCAGGCATCCACGGGCATGCAGGTGTCCAGCGCCGTGAAGGAGGACGGGCATGAAGACCACATGGGGGCGGGAACATGGAACTTGAAGGACAAAGGGGTCAAGAGTGAGGGAGGAGGACTGAGAGGATCGGGTGAATGATTAAGGAGGAGGGGCGCGCTGAGGAGGAGGATGAGGATGACGATGGCGAGGAACCAGGAGGGATGATGGATGTTGCAGGTGATGACGATGATGGCTACGATGACGATGATGGCAAGGACGTAGACGATGAGGATGCCGATTCTCATGGTAGTGATGGGGAGGATGGCACATGAGTAGGATGAGGATGATGGGGGAGGGAGAGGGCGACGGGAATGGGGAGGAAGGAAGCGAGGGATGGCACATATGGATAAGCGGGAATGGATGGATGAGTAGGATGCGAGGGAGGGCTAGAGTGAGGAAAGGAATGATTGACGGAAGGCGGGAGGCAGGATGAGAAGAAGGAAGAGGAAGAGGAGGACCACGACGACGAATTTGCAGCTGAAGGTGTGACAAGGAATGAGGATGTTGCTTTCGCTCGCACGGTCGTCGGAAAGCGGAAGCGGGCAGCGCGCGAGCAGGCGTGAACATGAGGAATGGGACATGCGGAGTATGGAATGCGATTAAGGAGAAAGACGGCAGGAGGCAAGAAGGCGGACGCTGGAAGGAGGAGCGAGGAGGAGGGGAGGGAGGGGGAGGGCAGATGAGGAGAAGGCGGAGATGGTGAGGAGGAGGCGGATAGGAGGAGGAGGAGGAGGGAGCAGAGCATGGGGAGGAGCAGGGTGTGAAGGAGTAGGAGTAGGAGGGGGATGAGGGGCGGGGAGGGAGGGAGGGGGGGAGGGAGGGAGGGGGGAGGGCGGACGAAGGCTCCCTCCTCCCCGCGGCGCCGCCCGCCTCCAGCCCCGCGAGGCCGCGAGGCCCGGGAGGCCCGTTCGTTGGCGCGCCCGCCCGATGGGGCGAGCTCGGCGCGCGGCGGGGCCATGGGTGCGGGCAATGGCGCTTGCCGCGGCCAGCGTGCTGCCAGGCGCCCGCCCCCCCCCCCCCCCCTCCCGCGTCGGCAGAGCAGGTGGCGGAAGAGGGGGGGGGGGAGGGGAGGCGAGGCCTCGTCCCCCGCCTCCTCCGAGATTGCTGCTGTTGCTCGTCCTCCTCCTCCTCCTCCTCCTGGACAGGGGGGGGCGGCGGCTGCCGGGCGGAGACGGGGGCGGGGCGGGGAGGGGACGGGAGCGGACAATGGGGCAGGGAGGGTCAGAGGAGGACGGGGCAGCAGGGGCAGGAGGGGGACGCGGAGTTCAGGGAGGGGGGGGAGGAGTAGCGGGCGGGAGAAGATGGGGGGGGGGGGGCAGGCCCGTGGCACACTCGAGAGGGCCTCTGCCGGCCCAGACGGCAGGACAGCGACGGCCAGCCCGTCGCCTCTCCACTTGCCCAGACCACGCCCTATCGCTCCCACCCTCCCGTCCCTTGCCTCCCACTCTGCCTCTCCCAACCTCCCCCCCCCCTTCCTCCCATCCCTTCCCCATCTCCGTCCCCCTCCCAGCGCGTTCTGCTCTTCCTCCCCCCTCTCCCACGCGCCCTCGCCTCGCGCTCCCTCCTCGCTCTCTCCCCTCCCCCCCTCCTCCTCCTCTGCCCCCCCTGCCCCTCTCCTGGCGCCCCGCCTCGCAGCGTACTGTTTGCTTTGCCCGCCGCTTTCTTTCCATCTTCCCCTCGTGGCCAGGACTGGAGCCTGCGATCGCTGGCGCCATCGCGCCAGTCCAGGCTACGCTTCCACTTGTCCTGGTGCCAAGGACGCGAGGGCTTGGGGCAGAGCCCCTCTTCACATGACTCTTCCCTGCTCCTGCTCCCTCCATCCCCTCCTCCTGAGGGGAAGGAGAGGAGGAGGTGAAGCCCCTATTCCTTCTTCCTCCCTCTCGCTCTCTCCCTCCCTGTCCCTCCGCCCCTCACCTCCTTCACTCAGATCGGATGCCCTGCCGCCGTTTGGAAGCCCCGGCGCGTACGAAACATACATTGGTGAGTTGGAAAGCCCGCTGTATGCATCTTATCGTCGACATGTCTTTTCTCGCCAAGCATTGAACCCCTCGCAATTCTAGCTGGTAGCGCATTTGGGAGCGGTTGCAGCTCGCGATCCACGGAACGTGCGCAGAGTGCGACGTGGACGCACATTGCAATTTCCCTTCGCTTCCGCATTGGTATCACCCTCCAATCCATGAGCAATTTTTGCTTGTGGCTGTTTTGCATACCTGCTGGTAGTTCGCCTCGGACGCTCACTGACAAGCATGCGACGCGATGTGGAGCGACCCGCCCACGGGAACGCCACGACGCTCCCACGACCCATCGCACCCCACAGGTACTGGCCACAGCTTCGCGCCGGGCATGACAGTGAGGATCTTCTCTGGGCTCTCACCGTGCTTCGTGAAGTGCGCGACGGTGCGAGCCGTCCTTGCGAGCACGTCGCGCCAGTCGAGTGGAGCACAGAAGGTTAACGCACCAGTCTCACCACCCTTGGCTTTGACCAAGGCTGTCAGCACCACTACGGCTGCCCCTAACTTCGACATGGCGTTCGTCCTTGCGCCGGCCCGAGCTCCAAGGCGCACTAGCAGCTTTCATCGTGGTGGAGACCGAGGAGGATCTCCATCTTGACGCTCTGGGGCAACATCCTCATGTTCTTCGTGGTCGCCTTTCTGTGGCTCGCCTGCACGATGCCTGGTGGAGCCGGCCCACAGGGCGGTGGGGGCAGTCGTCGTGGCATCAGTTCCCGTCTGCCGCCCCATGGTCACCCGAGCGCGAGTCTACGTATCCATTCCGCCACTGGGTACGGGACCCGCTCGCCTGGATCATGCTCGCCACCGACATGGACAGCGCCCAAAAGTGCGCTACTGTCATCCTCAAGCTCGGTGGGGCCGCTCGCGAGTTCACGCGCTCCAGGATCTTCACGGAGATGATGAGATGACGGAAGGAGAATGGTCAACGGCCAGCACGAGGACGCCGTGACTTACCTCATTGCGAACCTTGCCATTCAGTTCGGTCCATTGGGCGAGGAGTCGCGCCTCCAGGCTACCCTCGAGCTTTTCGAGTTCTCCAGGCACCGTAGCGAGACCACAGATGCGCTGCTCTCGCGGTTTCTCACGCTGCGGGGTTTCTCACGCTGCGATTCAGAGCTGCGCACAATGGTGCAGCTGCGATGTCTTGGGGAGGCCGCAGCTGGCTGCTCCTCCGAGCGGTCGGCGTTGCAGCTAGCCAACTCACGGCGCCGGCCCAGCCCTGCCTCAACCGATGCCGATCCACGGGCCTGAGTTCAACAGTCTCGCTACTCTGACCAGGCGCGTGGGTCACATCGTGGAGCACGCACCGAACAACATCGCCAGCGCTCTTCGCTCGCAACCATTACTCGGAGGTTTCGATGGCGTGACCAAAGACGACAGTCAGGGCGCACCCTCCGCGGACCCCTGGCACACTCAGGGCCTCGATCCCTGGGCGGCCAGCGCCGCCGAGCTCCCCGGTGCTGGAGGTGCTATAGTGCGCGACGCAAGCCGTCGAGGCGCGCCGCGCCCCCGCAGTCGGCATTTCCCAGCCGCCGCGCGGGCGCCCGCGGACGGGGCCGACTGCGTCAGTGGAGCCTCCTCAGGTGCCGGCTTGGATCCAGGCGGCGAGGTCAACTACCGAGCTCCAGAGTTCCAGCGCCTCAGCCCTGTCCAGATGCATGCCTTGTTGTTACGGCAGCGCCTTCTTCAAAAAACAAAGGCAAAGGCCGGGGTGCCCAGGAGGGGCGCGCGTTTCTCTCGGGGCCCTCATACATTCGGGTAGATATGGTTTTCTTCGGTGGAAAGGACAGATTCAACGGCATGCGCTCGTCAGCCAGCGGGAATGGCAGGCGCCGCAATTGCCGCGGATGCGACATGATGAGACGGCCCCGCCATGGCGTGGAGCATCTGCGGGAGCGAATGCCACATTCGTACCGAGTGGCCTCGCGGCACCGCATCATCGCCACAGAGCAGCGGCAGCGGCGGTCATTTCGGAGGACGCCAGGACTCAGGACCCATAGATGGCTCCCTGGACCAAGGCAACTTGTTGTCCGTATCTCAGGAGTCGCCTCCATGATCACTGAGAGCCTTCCTCAGACACAGCCAGGACCCAGCGGCGCGCCAGTGCAGCCGTCCGTCGACGCCCCCGGGAACCGACCTGGATCTGCCCACTGCCCGTGGCCAGTCGCTTCGCATGCCGCGGCCCAGAGCCGCGCGCGCGGGCGCGCGAGCCGTCCGACGTCCTGCGTCCAACATTGCAGAACCAGCGTCAAGACCATTGCACAAGCCAGTGCTGCCGCCGTTTCCTGGCACGGCCACCGCCGCCGCGGAGCCGGCTGCGGCTGGGCTGCCGGCGGAGCTCGCCCTCCCAGTCGGCGCGCCACCGAAGATTGTAGCTCCGTGGGGCCCCCGCGAGATGAACCTTGTTGACCGGCAGTGCAGCGCGGGGGCCATGTGGGCCATGTCCTGGTCTTCGGCGACTAGCGAATCACTGTCCCACGTATCAGCGGTTCCACTCAGCTAGCGCAAGCTGCCCTGCCAGACAGGCCACAACGCCGCGGACATGAGCGCCGAGCTGAAGTGCCGATCGCAGCGATCAGGACCACCGTCGCGCACGACCTGGCCCCTGCGATATCCATCGGACTGTCTTCCACGGCCAGACTGGAGACCGAGCGCGACGCCCAGCTGGAACAACGACGTGCCCACCGACGTGAGCGCGCCCGACAGATGATCAACGTGGCCATGGCTGGCCCCCCCAACCGCGACGCCACCCTCATTGCCATCGGATCTACGTGCCGTGTCAGAAGTCACATGATTGGAAGTGGACACCGATCAGACGTGCAGCATCTGTTTGAACCAGTACGTCATTTTTGATGTTGCAGTTACTTCAACGTGGACGCCGCTTCCATCAGAGCTGCGCTGGTGCCCAGGCCGCCACGAGCTACGACGACGCCCAGCGCGAGCAGTGGAAGATACACCTCGTGGCGACTAGGCTCGAGCACGCCCCCCCTCCACCGCGCGCGCAATGCCCGACGCGCAGGCGACGCCTGGCGGCGCGCTGGGGCGCGCGCGCCCGGGTCAGCACCGCGCCCCGCGCTGCGTCCGAAGTGCGCGTTGCCCCCGAAGTCGACGGGGCGATGGTCGCGCCGCGAGACGGGCCAGTCGAAGGAATCCCACGCGGCACTCCCGCGCCCACCTGGGGGCAGCCGTCGCCCCCAGGCCCGCCGCAAGACGGCGAGGCCGACGCGCCCCCCCTGGCTGCCTGCCGTCGGTCCCGCCTGTGAGTACGCCGCTCAGGCGTGCCGCAGTTGCGCCCGGCTTCCCTCCTGCGAGTTCAGCGCCATCGCGGGCCCAGGCGCGTGGGCGAGCCGCGCGGGAGAGACTCGCGCGCGCCCATTGCGCCGCTGAGACGCAGAGGCAGGGCATTGGCCGCAGCAGCTCATGAGCGAGGCCTCGGGCATTGCGACGGAACTCAAGACCGCGGCCATCGGGCGAGCGCCCCCGTCGCCGTTGCGGATGACCAGGGCCGAGCAACCATCGCCAGTTTCGTCGCCGATAAGGGGGTCGGGCAACCCAGCTGGTCCGGGACGCCACTGTCGAACGCGCTGGGGAGCTCCCAATTGGCGAGCACCCAGCGGAATTGCGCGCAGCAGGGGCCGTCGCTGGCTACCGCGCAGCGTTCCTAGCGCCCACCTACCAAGCCACAACCTTAGATTATGCTCTGGCCACGGTCCGAGTCTCGGGGCCTGGCGCGGACCTAAGCGAGCTGCGCGGCGACGAAGCCCGCGCCTCGCAGATCGCCATCCGGCGACAGTTCGAGATCGGCGTCAATTTCGAGTCGGCTACTGGTTGCGATCAAGGCGGCCCTGCGGTCCAACGGCACTTCCTATATTTTCTCAGGTCCATCAATGCGCTGGTGGCGGTCATGGCACCATCTTGCCGCAGTGCTTGCGCGCCCAGTGGCGACTGCCGCGTCAACCGCGAAACTTGGCGGACACGTCACGAGGAAGATGCGCCGCGCATCTCCTTCTGCAGACATGTTGCGATGGCACGCGCGCGCGTGAGGGGCGGTACTTCTTTGTCGAACAACCGAGCCCCATCTGGCTCTGCGCAGTGCCGCCGCGGGAACAAGAATCCACGCATCCTCACGTAGATGCGGTTGTGTTCGACCAATGCTGTCTGGCAGCCAAAAGTCCACGTGGCCTCCCAGCCGAGAAGCCGCCACTGGCCATAGCCAACTCGCCACATCTGCTCGCGCCCTTCAGGGGTCTGAGGAGCAGCGGGAACTAAGACCGCGACGTCAACTGGGGACGAGTCCAAGACACCAAGACAATACAGGTCTGGCTGTGGCGCTTAGCTGAGCGCTTGGCGCAGGGCACTGTCGCGCTCAAAGCCACGGTGGAAAGCTCTGTCGCCCTGATGACCGAGCTCCACCCAGCCAGGAGCAGGCATCGGCCCAGAGGCTCTACAGGAGCTTGAAGGCCTGGAAGGAGCCGAAGCACTACCGGCACCAGCACCAGCACAGGAAAATCGCGAGCCCGACCGAACACGTCTGGGGCCCCGACGCGAGCCTCGGGCACGCAGACGCCCGCCGCCACGCCAGCTGCGAAGCAGGCAGCAAGCACCAAATACAACGCGATACCCAGAATGTCCTGGCTGCCGAGGAAATCGCGGCAACCTGGGCCCGCGTCGCATCAGGATCCAGAAAATGCGCAATCCCACCAGGCGTCGAGCCACCATGCTCATGCCCAGGATGTGCTCGCGACCCGCCGCGAGACAGAGCGCGCCCTGAATGCGCCAGGCGACCAGGATAATGCCGCTGGTTCGACAAGCCACACAGGGCTGTCCAAGGGCGCTGCGCCGGCCAACGCGGGTCCTTTCCCCGCGTGGCACGCGCGCAAAGTCTCGGGATCCGGCGGCAGGAATTCTTGGGTCACAGGTGAGTCCTGACACCGTTGGGCCGCCTCCTGATCGAGGCCTCACCGACGGCCCTCCACCACCAGCCTACGCGCGACGATCTCCTCGGCGGCGGCGAGCCACCGCCGCCGCCTGGCCACGCGGCGCCCCGAGCCGCAAGGGCCCCTCGACCACAATCTCGAGTCGTGGACTCTGCAAGGGGTCACGCACCAGAGGATTGGACAAGTTTCGGCGTCAGTTTGCGCGTGTCACGAACTGGCGGCGCATCGCTGATGCGACGCGCGATCCGCAAACTACACATACGCTGGCGACACGCTACGCGGATTTAAAAGGAAAATATTATGATCGCGGCCCGGTGCCCGAGCAGCGCCATGCAGGCGATCGTCGGCGCGACAGACAAATGCCGCGAGTGCCGGGCCTGGGTGGGCATCCTCTTCTTCGCCAGCATCTGATCTGGCGCGCGATCAACAGCTGACTGGCGGCATGCAGCCCGGCTGCTCGAGGGGGATTCCGGCGACGTTGGGCATCGATCCTCCGAGCGCCTGCGCTCTGCCATTCTGTCGCGTTGGATCTCGGTGTTCGGACCGCTCCAGGCCTCGATCATCCTGGATCGTTGATGGCGAGCGCTGCACATGCGGAGCCGAAGTGGGGCCAGTCTTCGACCGGCACGGCGTCACGGTGCGAGTCCGAGCCCCAGATCAGCACGCGCAAATGATCGCACGACGCGGCGCCATCTCGCGCGTGGGTTGCGTTGGCACACATTTACGGCGCGAGGCTGCGTTCACAGGCAATTCTTTCACATCTCGCGGAGGAACCGCACTATATATCGCCAGGCTTGGTCGACAACCGCGGATGTTGCCAGACGTGTTGGCGACGCCGGACGACGCGGCTGGAGTGGCGCGCTACTCGCGCCGGCTAAGAGAATCGCTTTGCAACGGATCGCGGGGACTTCGGCCATCCCGCGCATCAGCCGCGCCGCGAAGACAAACGCCGCAGTCCCAGGACAGACCCTGGACTACATGCCAGGCGAGATGGTTGACGTCTACCAAGCTTACTCCACCGAGGATGTGAGCGGGCGGAACGGCCCAGCCGCAGTCATCAATATTGATGCCTCACACGGCACCGTGACCATCAATTACCGATGCACCGAGCAACTGCGCTTATTCGGAGATGCGCGACGATTTTGACATTCTGGTGAGCTATGTGGTGTTACAAGTCTACCTACGCCGCCCCACTGTCAGGTATGGATGGTGGTGGAGCAGTGTATGATTAGCCTATCTGCAAAGACACTCCAACCCTTCCGCCTTGCCGACACGGGTGCGGTCACCGCCATCGCCGCAACCCGACGCCAGGTGGCATTCGGCCTCGAGTGCCTAGCTAGGAACGTCCTCAACCTCTGCAGCGTTGCGGCCATCCCAGTAGGCTGCAGCCTGGGCCGCATCGTGACCGAAGAAAGTCGCGTTGGATCACTCCTGGTCTGGTGGGGGCCAAGCAATCGCGAAATCGAGGCCTGGTGGAGCATCGAAACTGGCAGGCTGGGCCTCGTTGAGCTCCCCTGTCCCGACCGCAGCAAGATGTGTTATCTCTTGTTCATGACAGGCGAGGTAGCTGGATGCTGCTTCGGAAATATCGTGGAAGACATTCTCCACATGGCAGACATCAGGGGAAGCAGCGCCGATCCGTCGGAAGCCGGCGCACGACGATGGGAGTTTGTCCACCATCGACGAGGGATCCCGCGAGGTTTTCTTTGAGCGACCAACGCTTGATCGACGCCACGTGGTGGGCTTCCTTAGTGCACGATCGACAGACGGCCACGCAGGATGCGCCGTCTGCAGGGTCAGTTACGGTCCGCGGAATATCGGATATCGAAGCTCAACCAGCTCCCCCGCGTCCACTGCAACATGCAATTTCCACATAGGTATGTCAGCATGTGCCATTACGTCACAGTGGATGTGGCACCCTTCTCCACAGGCGAGGCCATCGACGCCGAAGAGAATGAGCATGCCTATGTGGGAATATTGATACCAGACGAAGTGCACAAACTTGTTCTAGATCGTCCACTCCCAGACGGACAGTGCGCACGCCTCCGGATCTACGTGGCAGGAACCGAGAAAGCTGTGGTCGAGCGCGACACCGACCTACTCACCCTAGAGTTTCTGGGAGCACGCTGCAGCGGTCGCAGCCGCGGTGTTTGAGGAAAAACCAATTAGGGTGAATCACAGCTGCTTCCCACGTGGCGCCCGCGCCGACGCGCGCGCAACATCCTTGACTGCAAGTGGGTCGGCGAGTAGAAGTGGACACGGAGTAAGACAGACCCTGCACTGAAACTGTGAATCATCCGCTTGAGGCTGGCCCCCCGAGGCTTCGAGGACGTCGACGCCGATCTCGTCGCCACAGATGCTGGCACCTCATTGCGATGCTCACAGCCAGTGATTGTCTCCGAGGCGGCCGGCCGAGGATGGGCGATCGACGCGTGGGGCGTCTAGAAAGTCTTTTTAAAAGAAGCTACCAGAAACTTGCGGGAGCCACGGGCGAGGAGGAGCGCGAGGTTCATTGCGAGCTCTCCCCCGACGTCGTCACGGTCTTCGGGTCCTTCGGCAAGCTCTGCGTGCGCAGGCCCCCGATCCTCAGGCCCGTGGGCAGGCTCTGCGTGCGGACCTTCACGATGTTCGTGCTGACCCCGTGATCGACGTGCTGGTCATCATGGCCCGAACCCGTGCACCAGGCACGCGGTTTGGCCCTCGCGGTCCAGCCTGCGTGGCCGCTACCGCCCGCGACAGCACCTCAGGGCCCAGCGGCACGTCCCCCAAGGACGTTGCCGACTGCGGCGGGGACAGTCTGCCCAAGTGCACTGTCACTGCCAAGGCCGCCCTCGCCCGCGAGCGTGCCCGGCCTGAGAGCGGAACGGCCTCCGAGGCCGTGGCAGCCCGTAGACCTACCCATTCGTCAAGCCCCGTTGGCGTCACGTTTTCGAGATCGGCCCCGTCGCGGGCTTCCGCCGCCTTTGATTCCATGTCCAGCGGTGGTCCCGCTGGCACGTACCCAGACTCTGGCTCAGCCCCGTCACGTGACGGCAACGGTGATGCCCACATCCGCCACGACGTCACACTCCAGCTTGCGACAGAAACCGAAGCTGGCACCCAGTCAGTTTTTCCTCTGTGAATCCTTGGCTCCCTCCACCTCTCTTCCCCTCGTTCCCATTGTCTCATGTGATCTCTCATCATTTCCCTCAGAAGTCTTTTCGCCCCCCCCCGTGTCGTCTGCCTTCCATCCGCGCTCAGCACAGCGATGGGAGGAGCCCCGAGCGCATCATGTTCCACAATAGCTCGCACCTGAGAGGCTTGAGAAGCCCCAGGGTATTGCAAGGCCCGCTGGGCAGAGGGGAGGATTCCTGAGCCAAGGCGCAGCGCTGAGGAAAGAAACTGGGAAAAAGAAAGGAAGAGAGAGAGAGAGAGGACGATAGAGAGATATGATATGAGAGAGAGGTTTGAGAGAGAGAGAAGCATGGAAAGGGAGACATGACGGCAGAGAGAGGTATATATTTTCGAATTATCAAGCTTGAGCTTACATGACCTTTGTGTTGCTATTGCGTTTGAAACTTGACTCATAATCGCGCCAGGAGGCTGGCTATAATCTCCATGTTGTGCACAGTGGTGTTTGTAATGCATCGCGAGGTTTGGCATAAGGGCGCATACATTCGGAGATCAGCGCTTCAAGGCTGAACGGTACGGACGCGCCATGTGGATGGAGCTCACGACTGCCGCAGTCAGAGTGAGGGGGCCAAACGGTCATTCATAGCCTCTGGGCGCGTGGCAGAAGTGGCGTTCCGTCCAGCGGACTCTGCTTGTGTCGTTGTTGTCGTCGTCCTCGCCCGCGACCCGCCCGCGACCCACCCGCGACCCACTTCGCGACCCACCCCGCGACCCACCCCGCGCCCGCCTCCTCGCTCTTACCCGCACTTGTGCGATGCTAGGTCGATATTCCTGGTGTGATATGTCGTGCCGATAAGGTTGGTCGACATGGTGTCATCCATGAGACATCTCACGCAATGAGCAGAGATCCCTCCATCTCCAGTGCCGACATCGGTGTCAACCCTCGTCGCTGAGTCGTACCATATGAAGATGTGTTTTGGTAAATGTGATCTCCAATTGCGGCCCTTACTGTCACCAACATCAGATCCACAAGCTGAATGTAGCTTCTCTGATCAGAAATTGTAGCATCACGCGTGCCCTTTCGCGTCCAGGCTGTGGGGACGTCGGAAGCGAAACGATTTCTGTGGCCCCCCCACCGCCGTCGTGTCGTCCCTCGTCCTTCCTACTCTCCCTCCTCTCCCCTCCTCTGGCAGCCTGGTGGGTACCGCCTCGCGCGCGCGCTTCGCGCGCATGCCGTCCCGGGAGTGCCCCTCTCCCCCCGCATTTTCTCGCCCGCTCCTCGTTCCCCTCGTAGCCCTTCTGGCACAAGCAATTTGTGCTTGCGGATCCCGACACTTCAGAAGGGCTGGGGGTTCGCGAGCCTGGCTGCGAAGGTGGCCCAGGACGGCGCGCAGCGTGTTGTTCAGACGGGCCCAGCCATGGCGCTTGGCCGCGCTGGTGGTCTTGCAGCTGCTGATCAGCGTACCTGGGTCTGCAGGTTCTGCATTCACCAGCGCACTGGTGAAAAGTTCTTCAATTAACCAGAACGTGACGTCTGCTACCAGTGCAGAAGGTCAAAAGGGGCGTGCTTCCACAGCTACAAGGAGCACAAGTCTCCCAGTGTCCGTGCTGGTCCTTCGGCCGACAAGGCCCCGTGGAACCAGATTAAGCTGCAACTCCAAGCAGCGCAGGACACCATCAAGAAGCTGGAGGCACAGTTGCGTGAGCAGCGCGACAAGCCAGGCATCAAGAAGGACGAGGCCATGGACGTGGGCGCTGGCGACGACGCTGGCACATCTACTGCCAACGATGGTCAATTCAATGAAGGAAAGGCTCGAACACGACTGGCCGAACTGGAGAAGCAGTTGGACATGGCCAGCAAGTGCGAGGGCCTCGCTTGGGTCACGCTCAAGGCCAGCTTGGGTGCGGAGCGTGATGCGCTCCAGGCTGATATCAACAAGCGGAAGCCTGCAGCAGCGAGGATGCTCAATCTCACTCGCAAGATTGAGGCTATGGGCGTCCAGATTGCAAAGCAGGAGAAAACCATTGAGAACAAGCGCGTGCAGCTACAAGGGTTGCAAAATGAGATTGATGAGTCGGAGAAAGCGGTGGCCGAAAAGAAAGTCAAGCTCGATGAGATGCGTGCGCAGGCCATGGAGGTTGCACAAGCCTCAGTCAAGCCTCCTGGAGCTCCCAGTGAGGAAGGTGCTGGGCAGGTGGCAGCTATTGGGCTCGACGCTACAAAGCTTGGACAAGTACTACGCGATCTTGGGGCAGGTGAGCATGCTGATAAGTTGGTGGAAGGCATCGCCAATCAGCTGCCTGACATCATTGCCAATGCCCAGGTCACCGTGGTTGGCAGGGCTGGTCTTCCTGCTGCTGGGTCAGCTGATGACCCTGCCGCTCGTGCAGCACGTGGGCTACAAGCCAAGCGTGATGCTGAAACTGCTGCAGAGGCTGCTGCAAAACGGGCTGCTGAGGAGCAGGATGCCAGAGACAAGGCCTTTGAGGAGGCCAGTGATGAGGCGCCCTCCACGATGTCGGAAGCTGCTGGCGTGGAGGTGATTCCTGAGAAGCCCAACCTCAGGGAGGCGGCGAAGAAGCTCTTGCAGTTCAGGCAGCAGACCAATTTCGGCAGCTTCCAGGCGGATTAGGATATGCAGTTCATACGTGAAGATCGTTATGGTACTGCTCTTGCTCATGGCGTATAATCTTGGAGGCAGCGGTTTGGATTTGAAGAGCTCGGCAGCCTCTTCTTCCAGGTCGGAAATGTTTTATGATGGTTTCAGTGGAAGTTCGAGTTCGGCTACATCATCGGTCGGGCCTTGCGCTGCAACTGGAGAGGACAGCGATGTGAATCAAGCCAGAAAGGAAGCTGGCGGTAACACCATGAATGGACGCATTACCACCGTCAACACTGATGCTTCTGGGCCCTTGCTGCAATATCTTGGACAAGCGCGTGATGCCGCCATATTGGTTCAAGAGCACAAGGCGGATCACAAGATGCTTCCTAAGCTCCAGCAGCAGATCCAGGACATCGGTTACCATGGTGTGTATGCAGCAGCTGAGCGTACTGAAGCAGACGGCCTCAGCTCGGGCGTGGCGGTGTTGGTGCCGACCTTTGTGATGATCACGGCGCCGCCACTGTTATCGTCGCCAACGTTATGGCCATCAAGAGCGGTGGCTGCGCAGGTCAACTGGGGCTGTAAAGGCGGAGTTGTTTTTGTATCGCTCTACCCCAAAGCTTCGGTCGGAATTGATGCCTACAACCAGTCCATATTATATAAGTTGGCAAAGTATCTTGGCAGGCTTAACTCTCTTTCGAGACCATGGGTGGTTGGAGGTGATTGGAATCTTGAGTCGCATCAGCTTCGCGGGCAGCAATGGCTTGAGCAGATTCAGGCGATGTTCTTGGTACCTGTTGGTGCTACGTGCAGAGTTCACAAAGAAGCTGAAGGTCGTACTTGCGATTGGTTTCTTCTCAGTGAGGCGCTGGCTTCGCGAGCTGGCGCCCCCCATGATCTTGGATGGCAAGAGTTTACCCACGCATTCGCCTGTGGCCATTCCATTTGCAAAGACAGGTAATGATATATGGTTGCGCTTGCTTGTTGAACCCCGTCAGCTCCCGAAAGGACCAAATTTTGGTTGTTCCAGGTATCCTGTAAATTGGGTGTCAGCCATGAGGGCGATAGAGGATGTTGACGGGCAGGCCTCATTGCAGCACGCGTGGGATATGACACTGATGGCAGTTGAGCAGGAGTTGTGTGCACGGCATGACAAGGTAGGAGCTGGTCATGAGAGATACCTTGGACGAGGAGGACCAGTGCAGACTAAGTACGTCAAGGCGCAATGAAATCCGCGACAGGTGCGACTACAGCATGGGCCGCGACTTCGAGCTTGGCTTCAGGCTGCGCGTTGGGCTACGCATCTTATGAAAGTGCGGGCCTTTTGGTGCAAGATGGCTGAGGCGTTCAAGCTTGAGGGTAGAAGTGCTGGCAAGTTTTACCTTCCTGACTACGCGAGTCCGCACTCTGACAAGGTCGCGGCATTGGAGACTACGAATGAAGAGATGGAGAGGAGGCTTGGCAGAAGGTCAAAGCCAAACGACCACACTTGCGACCTAAGTCTCGGCGTGCGGGGGTGAAGTCCGATAAAGCGCGGTCAGAGCAGTTGAAAGGTGCAAAACAGCCTGCACAACCGCGTGCAAATTCTGAAGAAGATCTTAGATCTCACAAGCTGCTCAAACCGGCTGCAAGATTGGCGAGATCACTTGTTGATGTGGTCCACTTCTTGAAGAAGGTGCACAATGCGCAGGACACGCTGCGGCATCTTGATGATTTGGCAGTTGATTTGTTTTCTGGGGATTTCACTATGATGGTCAGACCTGATTTTCTGACATTGGCATTCAAGATTGTGGAAGTTGTTGATGATATGATGATGGTGCATCAGAAGGAAGCTGTCAAAGATTTGCAATCATGGGTCAGGTCTGCATTTGAGAAAGGAGCTGGCGCTGCACATCGCGCGTCGAAGGCGAAGGCATTGGAAGCTGCTGTCACTCACACTGATAACTTTCAGCCGTATCAACTGGCCGACAGAGAGCTTGAGTGCTGGAGTGAGGTGTGGAGTTGTCATGAAGTGGTGAGCAACAAGATGCCTGCCGATTATCAGAGCTGGGATCTGCTACCGAAGCTGCGGCCTGAAGACCTTCAGGAAGCGGCGCTTACCTTTCCATGGGGAACGTCGGTAGGTCCCACGCGACTGCATCCTCGCGCTTCCTGGTATCTTCCGCAGCCAGGCCTGGTTGCTCTTGCAGCTCTATTTACGAGGTGTGAGCATATGTTGATGTGGCCGTCTGACAAAATAGTCAATGAGATGGTTAGACTAGCAAGACCTGGTGGGGGAACACGTCTTATCATCTTGGTCGAGTCGCTAGTCCGTCTTTGGTCCCGAGCTCGCCGACCGATTTCCAGAAGGTGTATTCAAGATCATGGTAGCCGGTGTATTTGGGGCAACCGACGCGGCTACTCATCCAGCTTCTCGGCGTATGAGCATAATTTACATGCTGAAATAGCTGATCGACTAGGTGAATGTTCAATCACTGTTTTTTCGATATGTGGAAATGTTTTGAGACGGTTATGTATGACGCCCTCATCATAGAGGCTCGGTCCATGCAGTTCCCCATGAGGCTCCTCTGGATGCTCTTGGACTCGTACCACGACCTAGAGTAAGTGGAGC